TGATCACATGGACATGGATGAGAACATCTCTAACTACCCTCTATTGACGAACCAAATTTGATAGTTGATCACATGGACATGGATGAGAACATCTCCAACTACCCTGTAGTCCATATCTTACCAACTACGAACGTTGTTTGGGAGCTTTCCTCAACTAACATTCAATCCAGAAACTCAATTCTTTTTTACTCAAATGCTCCACAATTGAAATTAGTTGGTGAAGTAGAACCTTAGCTTTGGTACCCAATCCCATCAATATTCTAATGTCTAAGCAATGTTGTAAAGACTCGACCGGATTAAAAATCCGAATTTCGGAATGCTCGTTACAGTTAACTTGTCATTTAATCGGAAAAGGTCAGTGTTTTCCGATTGTCAAGGTCCGATCATTTGGTCCAGTTTAAGGTAAGTTTCAAAGTATCGATACGATACGCATTTCGGCTGTATTGTATTAGTACTTAGAAACAATCAAAATACCCTTTTTTATTTTTTTCAAAGTTTGGTTTTTTGGGAAGCTTAAAATGTGTTTTTTATAATTAAAAAAAGTTGGGGGTCTAAATGAATCATATCTTCTTCAAAAGATAATCATATCGATACTTTAAACCATGGTATGAGATATTAGATTGACCACATCAAAACCAGAAACCTAACATAAGGGGGTTGCTTTAAAAAACAACAGAAGTTTTGAAACTATAAATGGTTTTTAAATATAAACAATTTTTTTTTTTTAATTTATGATGCTGGAAAGGTATGATAAGAAAATAGTTTTGACCAATCTAAATCCACCTATGAATTTTAATAAATAACACCTTATTTGCTATACTACGTTTATGATTTCAGTTTATTATTGATCAGTTGTTTGCTTTTCAGTATCTTTTCTATATCATGAAATGAAATAAAATAAACAAATGAAAACACGTTTTTTGTTCCAATTTTGGAAAAAAAAATTTAAAGACAAGTTTTTCTCAGATTTTTGTTTGAAGAACCAATTTATTTTCAAACCGGTTGAGGGAAAAGTTGTCAAGGAATTTTAGAAAATTCTCTCTTCTGCCAAATCAAACACAGCTCCATGGCGAATTTCCCTATGAAAAAGGTCAACAAAAATCTATTTATTCCCTTTTTTTTAGATTAAACTGGATTTCTAAGCTTCTATTTTCTGTTTCTCCCTTCTTCTTTTTCTGAATTGTGAAATCCAATCCAAGAAATCGAACTGGTATACCGGGTGCAGAAACAATAAATCAAATGCAAGAAAGAAATGAATTGATCATCTGCTGGTCTTACCTCGTACATGGGCTTAGGGAAGCCATAGAAATCGTAGATGACATCGTTGAGACCAGAGATAACGTTGACAGAGGGTTCATTGGTCTCCCAATGACCGGAGATGACAAGAATTGACTTGGGTTTCTCTGTGAAGATCTTCTGCTGCCAAGATTTCAAGAAATGCCTCGCCGGAAGGGAATCGTCGATTGACAGCGTCGGCGATCCATGAGATATGAAGAACGTATCCATCATTATCTGCTTTGCTTTCGATTGACAAACCCCAGACGCTCGGACTGCCAAAATTTTTGCTGTTTGCTTGTAGTCAATTGAATACGGCTTTTTGTGTGAGAAAAAACGCGTCTCGCGGTTCCGTTTTTATACCAGAGGAATTGAGGGAGGGAGGACGATTTTTTCGCTCTAGAATGCGCCGACAAAATAAAAAAAAAAAAAAAGAACATCAGCTCATACATCAGAGTTCAAATCTGCCCCCACCAGATTGCCCCCACAACGTCCCACCTCTTCTGTGTTCACACTAATGTTTGTATTGAGGGACAAGGTTTTGCCATGCTCTCTGTATTTGTGAATGATCGTGCGGGTGTGTTGGGTTAGGGGTTTCAGGTCCACGGGCTGATATGCCACAGCCCGTGGGTACAGTACGGGTTTAGCCCGTTTGAGAAACTAGCCGTTGGACGTTTGGAAGACCTTCTAAATTGTTAATTTTAATTTTTAGGAGGTTTTTATAGAAATATCCCTGAATCAACATCTATAAGTCTATAAATAGCTATATAGGGGGTATTTATATATTTTGATTTCGAGGGAGAAAAAGAGACAATAAATGCTCCTTCAATATAGAGTTATATCTTATATAACAGTTAGTTTGAGACTTTGGGGGCATTTGGGTAAAGTGATAAATGACTTTACGATGACTAAAATACCTCATCTCACAACAACTAAAAAGTGGATAGTTTTTAGAGTATTTGGGCAATTGAATTATTTTCAATTTTTATAAATTTGCCCTATTCTCCACTATACTCATCACATTAATTCAGCAATTCTCTTCTCAATTCTCATACTCTCTCGGTCTCTCATCTCATACAGTCTGATACTGTCAAACACTTAAATTAATTTTTATTTTTTAGAATTAAAAAAATGGTCAACTCCTCCCAAAACCAATTCCCCAACATTAAGTCCACTATCCCAATTTGGAAATTATTTAAAACAKAGGAGGTTTTATCTTTTTTTAGGGGGTTTATATAGAAATACCCCCTCGATGAACAACTATAAGCCTATAAATAGCTATATAGGGGGTATTTATGTATTTTGGCTTTGGGGAGAAGAAAAAGACAATAATGCCCCTCTAATAGCTATATCCTATATAACAGATAGTTTGAGACTTTGGGGGCATTTTGGTAAAGTGATAAATGACTTTACAATAACCAAATATCCCTTCCAACAACTAAAAAGTGGATAATTTTTAGGGTATTTTGTGCAATTGAATTATTTCCAATTCCTATAAATAGCCCTATCCTCCACTATACACATCACACCAATTCAACAATTCTCTTCTCAATTCTCATACTCTTTTTTAGTCTTTAATCTCATATAATCTCATACTATCAAACACTTAGCAATTTAGGAGGATTTAAGGTTTCAACCATTGAAATCAAGTTGTGATTCTGAACTAGTAATCCAGTCATCTGGGTTTTTTAGAAAATACATAACCAAACATTAAGCATTTGAAAAGAAAAAAAGGATTTCAGATGTGGCGTTGATGTGACATTGTTTTTTGAAGAAACAACATTAGTTCCAAATACCTACTAAATGATGGATTTCACATTTGAATAGGTTAACTGTACCGGATGGTTGAACTGGTGATTTTTTTTGTCCAATTAAATGATTGTTTTCACAATTTGAATGAGTTAACTATATCGATGAAACCATGACCCAAAAATTGTTCTAGTTTATTGTGTGGTCCGAGTTCATATGTACCTTGACGGGAGTTTTCTAGTAGGTAGGGATGCGACATAATGAAGTTTAGATGGGTTCTTGAGCTAGGGAGTAGCAACCTCCGCTTGAAGGTGGAGGAGTCGAGTTTAGAATATGATGTTCAATGCACCTCTAAATTTTGGGTGAACAAGAGGCAGTATATGGTATGGGAGAAAGCTCTCTCCCCTCTTTCTTTCTCTCTAGGAGCCTCTCTTGGGTTTCCTTCCTCTCCCCTCCTCTTTTCTCTGGTCTCCCCCTCAGGTCTTCTCTCCTTCATCCCCCCTTTTGAGCTCGAATTAGGTTAGTATTTATACAGAATGGAGGGAGATGGATCTGAAACTTGTTCAGCTATAGTGCTTGGGATTCCACTGAGATTTTTCCCACAAATAAGCAAATGTTCAACTATAGTGCTTTGTATTTATTTATTTTTTATTTTGGGGTGGTTTTCATGGGTTTTGTGCGTCCAATGGGAGCTTGGGGCATGCCAGATGGGCAGCCCTGTATTTGGGGCTGACAATGGCAAAAAACGTAAATTTGATGATATTTTAAAAGCTATTTTGTCTTTTCATGGTCTTAAGTAAGGATCTATTTGGTATTTTGAGCTTTTTAAGCCTATTAGGCTTTGTTTCATTGGTCAGGTATTTTAATGGGTCAAGAATGGGTCTGACATCAGTCATCACCCTTTTAAGGTTTCAGGTTGGGCCAGATGATGTGGCAATTTAATCTGGAGTGTCGGAATGGTATCTTTCTAGTTTAACAGTCAAACAGATGAATTGGGATGTGAAATTTGGCGTGCTGGGGTTTTTTGGGTCTCTAAACTCAGTGGTGATGTTTGATTGGTCAAATGGTCTCAGGATAATGGAGATCTATGGTTGACAAGTTAAGATTTATAAGATTTGCTTAAATAGATTCTTTGTTTAATAAAGGGTCAAATGGGGGAATTTTGGGATGAAATTTGGTGGGTTAGCACTTTTGAACATCCTGAATCTAATGGAATTGATGGATCTTTGATCAGAGGTGTAGATTGATTGTTTCAGTTCAGATCATGGTCTTAGCTTATGGTTTTTCAATCAATGAAAGGGTCTGAAATGGAATCTTATTTTTTCAACGATCAAATGGAGGTGTTTGGTCATGAAATTTGACATGGTGGGGGTTTTTTGGATCTTTGAACACTGTGGTAAGGTTTGATTGGTCATATGAGGTTGGGATGATAGATGATAAGCCCCAATTAATGAGATTTTCTGAAATAGAATCTAGGCTTGATGATGGGTCAAATAGGGGAACTTTAAGCTACCATTTGGTGGGTTGGCATGGATTTGGGTGATGAGTCAAGTCGATGGTTCTGATATGGGAAAGATATGGTCAATCTTGGTAGTCATTCAGGGCCATCAGAATGGGGTCTTGATGTCTTTGTGGTTGGTTGTCGTAGATTCGTGGTAGGATTCGCTAGTTGATTGTTTCCTCGTAATCTTGGGGTGATGGATATGTTGGATTTGATTTTGGAGGAGTTGGAATTTGAATATCGCATAGATCGGGGTCATTAGAAAGGAAGTTGGCGTGATAAACGGTGGATCTTTGCAGTCTAGTAATGAAAAGTGATGTGTAACTAAGTTGTAGTTTTCCAAGTCTAGGGATGGTGTTTGATTAGACGTTGTTGATCTCAAGGTTTTTATTTGTCCTGTAGATTGCATCAAAAGAGGGCATTTCGGGTTTTGGAAAGTCTCAAGTTGATCTAGTTGTGTTTCTAAGTTTTTAGGGTCTAAGAGGGGGTACAAAGAGGTAGGTTGAAGGGACCGAGCAAAAATTGGGTGCTAACAGCTGCCCCTCTTTGTTGGAGGTAGCAGGATGCCGAACAACAAAGAAAAAGAAGCACACGAAGATTGCCTTAGAAGGAAATTGCAAATGTCAAGCAAACACAAGAAAAACATAGTGGTGCCATCCAAAAATATTTAGCGTTAGTTGATGTTTGATTTTCGATTAATGTGTTTTGAAGGACTTGATATTTTTAAGTATGGGATGAAGCTTGTTAAGTTTATTTTATTTTATTATTATTATTTTTATGGATTTCAAATTTGTTATTTGTTGGATGCCTATAGGTTGAGTTTGTGTAGGTTTGACCTTTTTTTATTGTGGCATTCGAATTGATATTTTGATTTTTTTACTGATTTAGGTTTTCGATAATTGATGTTGAAGATCGAATTTGTTATTTGATTCAAATGTTTGATGAAACTTTACTAAGTTGATATAGATTTTGGTTTTTGATTTGAGGTCTTGATTTTGATTTAAATATTTGATGGATTTTGAATTTTGATTTGCATTTTCATGAATTCTTATTTTTTAAAATATTTGATTTTTTGCGAGTTTTATTTAATTTAAATATTTGATGAACTTTAGCTTTTGATTTAAATTTTTATGGGTTTGATTTTTGTAATTGACAATTTGATTTGAATATTTGATGGTTTTTGAATTTTTATGGGTTTTGATTTTTGAAAATATTTGGGTTTTACTTGATTTAAATATTTGATGGGCTTTGGCTTTTGATTAGCTATTTGATTTGAATATTTGATGGTTTTTTACTCTTGATTTGAATTTTTATGGATTTTGATTTTTGAAAATATTTGATTTTTTACGAGTTTTATGTGATTTAAATATTTGATGGACTTTGGCTTTTGATTGGCTATTTGATTTGAATATTTGATGGTTTTTTACCTTTGATTTGGATTTTTATGGGTTTTGATTCTTGAAATTTATTTGATTTGAATATTTGATGGATTTTGATTCTCGATTCGAATTAGTTGTTTGATTTATGGATTTAAAATATTTAATGGAAGTTTACTAATTTAATATGGATTTTGACATATTTTTTTAATTGAGTTTTTTTTTGAATATATTTTATAGAAGTTTAATATAGATTTTGATTTCTGTTTTCAGTTTTTACAGGTTTTGATTTTTGAAAATATTTGATGGATTTTGATTTTTGTTTTATGCTTTTACGGGTTTTGATTTTTGAAAATATTCGATGGATTTTGATTTTTGTTTTGGTTTTTATGGGTTTTGATTTTTAAAAATATTTGATGGATTTTGATTTTTGTTTCGGTTATTATGGGTTTTAATTTTTGAAATCAGTTATTTAATTTGAATATTTGATGGAAATTTATGGATTTTGATTTCTTTATTGGAGTTATTACGGGTTTTGATTTTTGCAAATATTTGATGGAAGTTTATGGATTTTGATTTTTTTGGAGTTTTTACAGGTTTTGATTTTTTATGTTTGATGTTGAAACCATTTTAGGAAATCATTTTGAAAACTTGACAACGGTCCTATGATTTTTGTAGCGCATGTTGTCATTCTGAGAGGTAATAGGATCCCTTCAGATAGGAGTTACTTGCACATTAAAACTTCGATAATTTGAGCGATGAAAATTGTGTGGTGTTATTATGCCCAAAGGCGGATCGCACAAAGCTAGAAATTTTGATGATATTTG